GTGAGGAAAGCGAACAGGGCAAAAGGGGAGGTCACAGGCTTTATTTTATGTTGTTATTTATTGTTAAGTTTATGTAAATACATCAGTTCTGAAACCTGTTCTGAACAGGCTGTTTCTACTTTATTTCTTTTTTATCTGTTGCTATGGAGACAAACGTCCTCAAACCATCATGAAAATAATCTGGTTTTAAATATGCGGTTCTTTTTATTTCAATAACGTGAGAGCAAATTGGATATTACACACCATCTATTTAAAAGCAATAATATATTTATCCTTCAACTCTAGTGATTGTGTTTTTCAGCATGGGACAGAGGTTTATGCCAGATAAGCTTTCACTATTTGAAATGTTTATCTGAACTATCCAAATGTATTAGATTTACAAATTTAGATTGATAATCTTTTAAGAACTCCATTTCCCTTGAGATTTCCAATGGTACACTCACCACAGCTTCCTCACTGAGGATCATTGGGATGAACAATGGGGAAGACGGATTGAGGTCCTCTCGTTGGTATATCCCTCCTTCCCCTTCCCCAAAATCATCCCGAGCATTTTGGCTGGCCAGATACTACTTGTACACTAGCACATAACATACCTTACTTGCTGAGCTGAAGGGTGCACTGGGAACCTATTTATTGTCGTGCATCTGAGAGAAGGACTTAAAACCATTCCTATAGGAATAATTCCTTACTGCTCCTTACCTAACATTACTCTGGTGAGATTAGACTAAGACCAAGTTAAATTTGAGCAGATATTTAGGTACTTGAATTAGTATTGTACCTCCAAAAGACTGGACAGAATTATGACAGGCTATTTTTATAAACCATGACCACACAATGACATTTCCCTCCTTTTGAAATATATCAGTGCTAGTTTAAATATATGCTACAATGGGAATAATGGGAGTGTAACAGAGATCCCATTACTTTGAGAAGAGAAGTGCTGCAGGCAAGACATACCATCAGATGCAGCTAGGCAAGGGCTAGCTATAGGAGATTACGCAGCCAGGGGAAGCTGAAGACAGGTTTTACAGGACTGCAAGTAAGGGCTTGGGTCTGCAAGTAACTGCTAGCAGCCTGGCAATAGGCAACCTTGTCAGAAATTGAGACAGGTAGGAGGATAACAACTACAGCTCAGCTGGGGATGCTGCAGCAGATGAGAGCAGGCTGCCCACTAAGCTCAGGGGACACACCTGTGGCTGGTTAGAGGCAAATGTGTGTCCAGAGGGGATGGAGTCAGTCTGGCCCCGGAAGGAGAGGATTTCCTGCCAGCTTGAACTGCTACAGAGGAGAAGATACAGACACTGGAAGGTACCCTGAAGGCTGGGAGGGGAGCCAGCAGATAGGGTATGGGTTTTGTAGTAATGTAGAGACCCAAGGTGGGGTCTTTGTAAGAACCTGTTGGTTAGGATTTTGTTTTGGTTTTGCTGGTGGCTTGGGGGTGGCTATAAGTAGCACTTTGAAGGCTACACAGCCTTGTAGCACATTGCAGTTTTCAACCCTGCAACAGTGAGTAGTGAGATAGGGGCTGAGGGCCTGAAGCCAGAGCAGCAAGGTAGGGGCTGAGCATCTGGTGTCATGAGCAGGACTGGAGGTCTGGCTAGGTTACTGGAACAAGGTGAAGTGCTGAACAATTAGGCTCACTCTAACACTCTTGGGACAGCCTCCCAAAGGAATATGAAGTTTCTGTCAAGGCATGGCATGTAAAGCAGAGAGAGGGTACCCTGAAGAGCCAAAGTGGGGCAGGGGCTGGCCCTGCTATTAGAATGATAAGGGTAACCAGTAGTACAGTATTGGGCAACTCACTCTTCATTTCAGTTGATGATAGCAAAAGTATTTCAGTTTAAACTTCTTGTTAAAAACAAACAAACAAACAAAAACCCACTTCCCAATGAAAGAAAAATAAAAGGTAAAAGTTCAATCATTTATCAAATGAAACTACATACTTTTGTGCCCCCTCTCCCCCATTCCACTAAACTATTTTTTCCATTAAAACTCTTTTTGATTATTTAGCTTTTATATACAATATATATCCATGGTAAAAGCTTCCATGAACTGTGTACTTGTTTGGATGCAACAAGGCTGTAAGATATAGCATAAATGAGCTGTGGCTTGCAGCTATGGTTATGTTGTTTCCAGAGCACAAACTAGCTTGTTTAAAACTAGTTCTGGTATCTCTGCATTATCCCACGTGGATATATCCTGTGTTTTCACCAGCTGATTACCCGTTAAAATGGTATGATGAGTCACCTAGGGCAATTTGACTGGACAATTTTAAAATATTTCATTGAAATGAACTACTATATTCTGCTGATAAGATAATTGCTTAGCAGCAACACTATGCTTGGGAAATGCACAGCAGCTACTTGTAGAGTTTTTACATGACTCTGGTGTAAAATGTTATGAAAAATAAACATATTGAAAGATGTCTAATAAAACTGTGGAAGTGAAGGGGTTTTTTTTGCTTGTTTTTTAGTAAATCAGTACTTAAATTATAAGATCTCTCCATGATGCTAGCAGAAATGTTTACAATAAGATTTTGCAAATATTTATAATAATATATAAGGTTCTGTTAAAGAGTTATTTCTGGGTTTCTTGGTACAAAAGAGCACACTTATGTGAAAGAAATTCTGAAAATCACATGCACTAAAATTATCTTTGTTAATGTTCTCTTTATTTTAACATTGTTAGGTGCCATAAGGCTGGTTTTGTTATTGTTGCTTTGTATATTTTGGCATGATTTTTCACTAAATTATCATTTGGAGAGGAAAGTGCATATTTTCAATTATTAAGGAATATTTTGTCCTTTCTTCTCTATTAGGTTTCAGAATACTCTCTTTAACTTCAGGGCAACTTTTTTTACTCTTGCTCTTCTGTCTGGAATCTGTTTCATAATATAATGCTGGTTATTAAGAGATAAGGAAGCAAGCCCAAAATGTGACAGGCATAGTATTCATTATAGGCATTTTATCTTACTCAAGTCTTGGGGTTTGACTGTAGAGGAGTTTGGCATCTCAATGTAGATTTAAGTGGTAGTTACATGATAAATGGAGCATAAACTTCATCTGGAAAGAGAAAATATCCATAATCAAGAGGCTAATGTCTCTTGGAACTTTTTGAATTATGATTTGCCATGTGATAAAGAATTCTAGAGTCATCCAACCACTGGTGTTAAAACCCAAAGCAATAGCTGTTGGTTTTTTCTTTAGCCCAATGTATTAATTAATTCTAGGTCTGTTTAAAGGCCTAATAATCTAAAGCAGGGCTATCTAGCTTCTAAGTAGCTGGGGGCCAAGTGCCCCATGGGCTGCCCAGACCACACCAGGGCAAATCAGGCTCCCCTGGCTTGCATGTCATGAGGATGCCCCCTCCCTCACTGCTGCACAGCATGCCAGTGTAGCCCCATGCTCACTCGTAGCTCCCCAGGCCTCACCATGATGCACTGTCTACCCCCATCAAGCAGGGGCAGACAGCAAAAGACAGAGGAGGGAGGGGGAGCCCAGAGACTCTGGATGCTATTACAGCTGGAGCAATCTGGGGAGCAGCAGTTAAGCAGGAGCCCAGGGGCCACAATTTAACCCCCTGCAGGCTGCACGGGGTGCACAGGCTGACAGTTGCATAGCCCTGATCTAAAGCCCACTAAAGTTGATGGTTTTTCATAGGTTGCAACTCAAGGGCTAAATGTAGTACCTATAGTCACGAGCATATAGATAAGGTTTGTGCCCTAATTTACTATGTTTCTTATGACCACGTTTACTCGAGACAAAATGTTTACTCAAGGAAACAGTAACTCCCTAGTGAGTAGTTGCTTAGAGTATGTGTTGTAATTCCACACTAGGCTTGCCTAAATTGCTGGAAGGAACATGTATTTATACAGTTGTGAGTAATCATATGAATAATTGCAAAATATTTTTTCAGCAAAGGCTCTTTTGATACTTTACAGAACTTCTAGTGAAATTAAAGCCCTTATAAGAGGGATTATTTTGATAAGAATATATTTTCTTATCGGAAAACGTATTTGCCCATTTCAGGCCAGCCTTAATAAACTATTGAACGGAGAAAGTTCAATAATATTTTATCAAGATCACTTTACTACATAAAAAAGGGTTTTTAAAAAATATAGCCAGGTGTTGTTTCTTTCAGACCTCCTATTAAGAACTAGGAATCAGACTATGTGGCAAGACTTCTGGTTGTAATAGTCTTTAGGGAAAAGTATATTTGTTTTCTGTAGGAACTAAAATTTCTTCTCCAGTTCCAAAAAAGGGAACAATACGATTTTGTTGGTCGGAAGATATGTGTTATATGGTAGGGACCCTGTATATGCCCACAGTGGAACCTCTTTAAAAATGTCTGGTATGTAATGTAGTTGTGGCCTGCCACTTAAAAGGTGCCCTACCACCTAAAAGCTGTCTTTAATCACCTCTGTATCTGAATTGACTGCCACTGAGATTTCTTCAGAGAGGCCAGAGAAAACTTGGAGCACCTTTATCTTTGAATTGGATGCTGGAATAGCAAACACCATTCTGAGGATGTACAAGAAGGCACCATTGCAGCTGTAGAAGATAGCCCCTTAAGCTTGTGAAACACACCTGCTACCAGCTCTGTCACCTAGTAGGACTGTGAAAAAGTGCTAGCCTCAGAAGGGAGTCTGGGTGGTCAGACAATGAAAGAGGTGGGAGCTCCCAGCTAAGAGAATGATACTGGACAGGTCAGAGCAGGACGGGGTCTCCAAGAGGGAGGGTACATGTAGGACTCTGAGAGACAGCAGATTTCCAATTACAGCACAAGGACACAGGGGTTGAGGATGCAAGAAGAAGACTGAGGTAGGAAGTGACCCAGGAGTTTGTGTGTGTTGTAGGAAGTGCTGGACCTGGTAAGGTTTCTTTACATAGTCATTTAGGACCTCAAATGAGAACCTAGCTGTGGATGTGGTTCCTTTACCTCAATCATACTCTTTTGGATCACAGGCCTATTGATACCTATTGGTAATCCAGCCAAACTTGTAATTGCATTGAAGCGCTTGGTCATTAAATTGACTGAATATACAGACAAGCAAAATTATAGAGCATCCAAGTCAATTCAAGGGGCTGTTTAAGCAGACTTTTTGACTGAACTGGTGTGCTAAATTTACTTCCATCTATTAGATATCCCTACTTCCCTTAAGCTCCTTAAGCCATGTTTTCAATGTTTCTGGCAACTCTTTAAAATACTGTAATTGCGGCTTTCCTTTTCTGACATGCATGTGTATCCTTTTTGTGGATGTGAGAGTTCCCATTCAGTTAGGAATCTTGTTTAACAATGTGTGTTGGTTCTTTTTCAGAGAAATCCCAGGACAAAATTTAATTAATGTTTGCAAGTCTGTATCACTTCTCTTAAAAAACAAAATAAAAAACCCAACTTGCATACCCCACAAAGTTGTTAGCTTCTTACCTAATTTGCAACTGGTCTTTGCATTTGCAAATTGGATTTTTGTGCCTGACAGATGTGCTCGAATGAGTATACAGACAAAACTGGAGCCCTGATTCTACTCTGCATTTGAAATGCTGCACATCCCATTCTGATCATGTTATGAAACTCAAATATACTTCATTTGTATTAAGAACATCACCAGAATGTTTGCTTTTTCTATTGCAAAAATCATTTTAAAGCTATAATTGTTTACTTCGCAGAAATCTTAACATTTCATTCAGCCTTCCTTGAAAGCACTAGTTCTCAATCCTTCTCTTCATTATATTGCACAGAATATATTGCAGGACACATAGGTAAGAAATATTGGAGCTCCCATTGCAAACACAGGAATTTCATAGATTTCATAGACTTGAAATTCCTGTGTTTGCAATTGTTAGTGAAACTGGGAGGTAGGTAGCCACTTGCTTGAGAGATGTTGTTTGAGGTTGGCAGGCTGCCTGTAATACAGGAGAGGTTTCTCCACCATGGCTACTTTGAGATGGTGGTATTATTTTTACATTTCTCTCTCTCTCTTTCTCTGTCTCACTAATCTATTGTCATTGTTTCGCCCTTTTTTATTGTGTCACATAAGAAGTGTGGCACAAGGACTTCAAATGTCATCCTGCCTAAAAGTGATTTTGTTCCTTAACCCTCATGTATAAGTACATTTTCATTATAAATTTTAAAATTATCCATTATCAAGTTAAGTAATTATATTTACCTTACATTTTTCAAATATGTAAGTTGACTGAACATATGGATGCTGTATAACAGGGGTCAGCAATCTCCAGCTCACAGGCCCATTCCACTCTGAAGAACTACTAGATTCAACCTGTGGACATGGGGGTTTGGCAACATTTGAT